GGGGACCGGTCCTCAGGGAGCAGGCTGCTTTTGCCTTTTCCCCGGGACGCTGCCCTCCGGACATGTGGCGATAGATACGACTTGTCCCCGGGGCCCTCTTCTTCGAGGAAAGCCTCTCGGCCTCTTTGGCATGACGTCATCACCGTCTCGGCTACCTGCGTCTGCATAGGACACGGTTTCTCAGCGTCCCCGGCAGACACGGCCCCTGGAGTGGAACGGGGCCAACCCCATTGCTGAAGGGCATGGGAAGCCAGGGCTCGGAATTCGTGGCTGACTGCTGGAGGCCAAGAATCAAAGCCGGGAGCACAGGTATGTGCATGGAAGGCTCAGGAAGGGAGATGAAGAGGGGATGACGGCCCCCAGAGGCCAGGATGTGAGAGCAGAGGGACTAAAGACCAGAGCCTTTATCCTGACTGTCCAGGCACAGAGCACTCCCTTGCTCCGGCTGCCAGCCCCGGGGTACAAGAGATGAGTCTATCCCAAAATCACTTGGCAGAGCCTTCACTCCACACCTGACGGCAGCAGGACAGAGAGGGATGAGGCGGGCCGACCTTACTCAGGAGTAAGGATGCAAAAGTCCGAAAGAGGTTCCGAGCAAGTCAAACCTGGAAATGCCTGGAAAGAATAAAACGCCTTGACCGACAGAGTTTGTTCTAGAAATGCAGGACGGGCTCAATCCAAGAAGCTAATGACATCATGTATGACACAAACCTCCAGCAAGGGAAAAGGCTACAAGAGTGTCCTGGTAGACGCGGAGGGAAGTATTCTATAGACTTCCCTCCCATTCAGGCTTCCAAAAGTCCTTAGTCATGAGGAACTGAAGGAAACCTTCACACGGGACACTTGACCGGACCCACGTATCAGAGAAAGAAAGCCCCGGGCTCGGGCTGGTCCTGGGCACCCCGGGAGCCGGGACCATCTCCGGCGCTGGCCGGGATGGAGCAGAGGGCTTCTTGTAAGGACGCCGTTAGCAAAAGTGATGCTCTTTTGTCATCTTGAAAATGGCCTGAATTCAAGACTTGATGAGAAATTCAGAAAGCATGAGCATGGTGGGTGGGGGAGGGGGTGCAATGAACGGTCAGGAAGTTCACCCCCTGCACCTACCCCCACCTCACACATTTGGATTTTTTTAAGATTTTATTTATTTGTCAGAGAGAGAGCACAAACAGGGAGAGGGGCAGGCAGAGGGAGAAGCAGGCTTCCCACTGAACAGGGAGCCCGATGTGGGACTCGATCCCAGGACCCTGAGATCATGACCTGAGCCAAAGGCAGACGCATCACTGACTGAGTCATCCAGGCGCCCTGAACCTGACCATTTATGCAAAACTTTGAAAGAGAGAGGGAGGGAAATCATGTATGTACGCGGACACACATGGACTTTGTGGTTCTGGGAGGAGAGCTCTGGGTGGACGAGGAGACTATGGGGGAGGAGGGTGACCCGATGACAGAAAACCAGCCTTTCTTAACCCTATAAGGGCAGTCGCTCCGGAGAGGGACAGAATGCAAGCCCAGCGGACAGTGGCGCACAGGGGCTCCCGTCACTGCTGGGGTACGGAGGCGGAGGCCTCCTGCCAGCAGCGCACGGAGGCAGCGATGACACACGCTCCCTGCTAATGGTCAAGGCGGAGGAAAAGGGAAGCACCAATAATAGCACTGATGGCCTCAAGGGCTGAGCGCCCGGTCTATGCTGGACAGCTACGCCTGGGCCCGGCTACCTGCCTAAGGGCAGGGATTACTGTGATCCACATTCCTGTGTCTCTCTGCCTTGGATCTCTTGGGTCTCACGGTGAATAGAACTTCACTAGGAAAGCCTTTCCTTCACCCCCCCAAGCTACAGGGGAGCTCCCTTTGTGTAAAATCACAGGCCCTGCTAATTCTCACCATTGTGATGATGGGAAGCTGGTTGAGGTCCCGGCCGCCTGACGAATCTCACGAGGGCAGGAACACTGTGTTGCTCGGGCCGCCCAGAGGGAGCCCAGCCCGTGCCTGGCACACGGAAGGTGTTCCGTGGAGAAGTGTGCTGAGCCAGGGAAGGGAAGGTGGGAGCTCAGGAAGGGACTACAGAGAGCACCTGCTACATACCTGTCACACGCCTCCACGCAGATGAGAACAGACATCCCCAGGGACGTGCGCGGATGGACCCAAAGTCATGTACCTGGCGGTGTAAGAGACTGGCAGGAACAGGGCCAACCAAGTACGGGAGGCAGAAGCCCAGACGCCACCTTCAGCCCTCATACCCCAGCCCCTGCCCCCAACAAGGAAACCACACAGCCTCATTTGCCTGGGTCAACAACAGCAGCTAGAAGACTCCAGAGGACACGAAAATGAAAAGCACACCCCTCCCTCCTGACCCCACCCTCCTGCAGGCGGGCAACTCCCATTATTGGCCTGCATGGACTTAGGGCCTCTGACATCGTGGGAAGCGGAGCAGGGGGTTCACGGTGACAGCTTAACAGCCACACAGAGGGTCAGGTGGCTCAGGTGAGCGAGCCAACACGTTGCTGGTCAGACCCTGTAGGCCAGAGTGGTCAGTGGTCCGGCAGGAGGACACACAAGGTGTGGTGAGGACAGGGGGAGTGGCCAGGGCTGGGGAGTGGAGAGGGAGTAGAAGAAAAGACGTCAAAGATGATGAGGTTTGAATGGGGGGAACATTGGGTGGCAGAGGAAGGGAAGAGCAATGTACGGAGAAGCAAGAGCAGGTGCAAAGGCACTGGGGTTTGCCCGAGCCTCCGGAGAGACAGCAGCAGGGTGGCCCTGAGCTGGCTGGTGGGAGACTAGCCATGCCAAGGGGTACGAGCCTTCTCCAGGATGTGGTGGCAGGTCTGAAGGGTTCACAGTCAAAACTCTTGCTCTGATTTGTTGCCTTATGTGATCATGGCCATAGGAGCAAGGCTGAGCAGGGAGCTGGTGTAAAGCTGGAAACTACTGCCCCAACCCACCAGACCCGAGAAGGACTCAGTGCCCGCTCTGAGCCACCAATCACCCACTGTGTCCTCACACTCAGCCCCCACCATGCTACAGCTCTATCGCCCTTATCCAGAAGGCACCTCGCTGAAACCCCCGGTTATCCAGAACCCGGCCATGAGCCTGGAAGCAAACAGAAAAGACCCATGGTGGGCTACCACTCATGCTCCCAAAGTCACTATGCTGTGCATCACCAAGAAAGAAATATTGATGTCCATTATCATGGTAAGATGCCACCAATGGTAAGATGCATTTTGATTTCCAAGTCATTAAAATGTGAAAACATGTATGTCTTCAATCCACAGACTACCCTAATACATCATACGTGTTTGCTCTAGGAACGTCTCATCTTCCCTGGGGGACAAGTCAGTGTAACCCCTCCTGTGTTCCCTCCCATACACATCTACACCAGACACTCCCTGAGTGACTGCTTAACACTCTCTGGCCTCTCTAGAAGTTTCCTCTCTTAAGACGCTGTGATCCAGACCTTGAGCCCACCCACAGCTGAGCCAAGCAAGACTCTGGCTCCCAGCGATCTCACAGGGCTGGCCAGGTGAGCCCACTGGGTGAGCCTCTTGGAACGAAGGCAGAGTCAGCAAGGACTTGGGGACAGAAGATAATCATTTTCTTCTTAAGCTGGAGATGTTGGGGGTGGGACTTAAAATCCCAATGAGACCCAGCATACAAAGACACCAAGCCTGCCTGTCCCTACAGTCCTGGGTGCCTATGCTTCAAAAAGCAAGGAAGGGTCTCCTGAAAAGAGAGGGTATCCAGGAAAAGAGAGCTTGACCATTGGAAACCTTCTTTGTCTTCCTGGACGCACAGGGCGGTGGGCGCGCTGAGGAAGCAGGGTGTTCTGCAAACACCCTGGAAGCAGCTCCATGTGCAGCTCCAATCGTCACACTTTTCTCATGGAATCTCCCCACAGCCCTGGGGAGGCCACTATTAGAGCCCATTTTACAGGGAGGGCAACGGGGCTGCGTGGGGGAGGGGCAGAAGATGCTCAAGGTCACACAGCAAGACCCCGGGGGGCGGCAGCTCAAGTCTCCTTTCCACATGGCACAGGGTTCCCCAGCAATGGCTTCGGCGCCTCCCTGAAGGAGCTTATTCAAATTTTAGAAAACTACAGATTGCAGACCTCGCGCCCCCCCCCGCCCCTCCCGAAGAACGGGGCTAGGGCCTGGGGGCTGTGTGCTGTGACAAGCTCTGGGAACCAGCGCCTCACCAGGTGGTCCAGGCCAGGAGGAAGAGTGCAGACGAGAAGATGCGGCGACCAGAGAAGATGCGGCGACCACCGGAGGGAGGAAGGGTGGCGTGATCCAGAAAGGAGCCTTCCGGGCAGACCTGGCCTACTTTTAGCCCTCATTTCGCCCAAACCCACCCCTCCGCTCTGCTCTGAGGCTTTTAACTCACTCGATACCACATCCTGCCGCTTTCATCTCGCGTTCCTTTTCCCTCCGAACCATCCAACCACGGCCTTCCTCCTGCTGACCTGCACCTCTCGCTAATTTACCCCCAGGGCCTGGGCTGGGCCAGCACACGCGCGCACACATCTGCCACGAGCGCACACACCTGCACTCACGCACCCGAGGACTCACGCGGGGACACCCGGGTGTAAACACGGCTCCTGCCACCGCGCCCACGAGCGGTGTTGCAGAAGAGCGGCCGGCGCCGGGGCACCCCCGCGACGCCCGGGTCCTGGCGGCGACGCCCACGCTCACCGCGACCGTCCCCAGGCGGAGCGACGCGGGCTCCTGACCGCCACTCGGGCCGGTCTTCGGGGGAGGAGGGAGGACGTGGCCACACGCACGGCCCCGGCGTTCGACAGTGCCCCCCACCCCAGGGCGCCCCTTCTGTCTCCGGGAGTACCGGGACGGCCGGTCGCGGCCCCGCGTGTCCCCGGGCCCGGACACAGCAGGACTGCCCAGCCCGCCCGCGGCGGACGCCGCTCTCAGAGCCCACTGCTCCCCGAAGGTGCCCACGCTCCTCTCCCCGCACCTCCCCGCGCGCCCTCACCCCCCCGCCCGACCACGCACCTGCAGTCCCCGCCGGGCGCCGAGCCCTTCTCCAGCGGCGACTCCCCGCGGCTCGCGTGCGGTCCGGACCAACGCGCCGGGTAGGAGCCGCGCGGCGAGTCCCAGCACCCGCCCGGGCTGCACTCGGACGGCGGGCCAGGGGGCGGGGCGGGGGCGGGGTCATGAGGGTGGGGCGGGGCCATGCGGGGTGGGGCTGGGTGCGGGGCGGGGCGCCCAGCGGGTCTCTAGCGCCACCTGGCGGCCGGGGCGCATGGGCGAGGGGGGCCAGCCGGCCAACGCATCCTGTGAGCCCCGCTGGCCCAGCGCAGCGCGGGAGCCGCGGCCCCAGGGTGGAGCGCGTCGGTCCCGGAAGACACAGGCCCCGCGGGTGGACGGCCGCGGCCGGAGGGGCCCCGAGCGCCACCGACCCCCCGGGAGTCAGGTGCGGTCGCGTCCCGGGGAGCGGAAGCGCGGCCTCGGCCCCGCAGGAGGGGTGGGCGGAGCCGGGAGGAGGCTTGGGGTGGGGGCTTCGGGGAAGCAGGAGAAAGGGGAAGCTCAGTCGAGCTGCTTCCTTCTCTCGCGGCGACCCAGCGCCCCACTTCCTCCTCCTACTTCTATTTTCTTTAGGCGCTCTTAACCTTTACAATGCCTGCACCCCTGGTGCGCAGACGCGCGCCGGGACCCCCAGCCTCCGGGCTGACTCACCCCTTCCCCCGCCGGTGGCTGTCACTCGGCCCTTTCTCAGCCCCCGAAGCGGGGGGAGGGGTCGTCTCCAGAGTCCAGACCCTATTCTTGACCCTTCGGTTCTCCCCCACAGACGACGCCGCTAGGAAGAACAACGCACGGAATCGTGCCCTGTGCCTCGCTCCCACCCTTCCAAAATGGGGCTGGGGGGGGGGGTTGTGCCGGCAGCCCTGGCGAGGCAAGAATAACCCTTGATTGCAGAATCGGCGCAGGGCCAGGTTGAAATTTCCACTTCCACTGTTGAATGGGACTCCTGTGTCACAACAGCTGTTGAAGGCGCATGAAACTGGCCACAAGGTCGGACGTTACTGTGGGTCAGAAGCCACAGCCCTACCTGAGGCTTTGAAGAGATGTGAACACCAGTGACTTTTCTCTTCCTGACTCCCAAAATACCAAGAAAAATCAACTTCCCCAAAGGCACAGAAACAGAAAGTACCCTTGGACGAACACGATGGTCTGTTTCCAGCCTGCAGTTAGGTCTGGAAGGGCGCTCAGAGCCCGTACTTGGATGCGTCATCCACCCCCCCCACACACACACACACACGCCAACATGTCACAAATAAGGAACCCGAGCCACAAAAGACTGAGAGGGCACGCTGAGGTCACACAACTTGATAAGGGTGGGCGCAGACTCTAGTCTCCCCAATCCCTACTCTTCCACCCCAAAGATAGGAGAAGGGGGAAGAGGGAGACAGCCCAGAGGTGGCCAGGGTGGGACGCTGGGGTGGCACTGCTCTGGAATCAGGAACTGAGCCTCCAGGATGGCACAGTGTAGCCCGGATTGACGTGTTGGGTGGTCAGGTCACTTGCAAGGCTCAGGAAGACACCAGGGAAATGATGGCATCCTTGACTTCCTCTATGTCCTTGGTATCCTAAAACTGAAGATGGAGGAAAGCAGAGTTGCCTGTTAGAGCTCACTGCTGGGGAGCTGAGCATGCCACAAAGCCCACTTAGTCCCATCCTGCATCCCCTACCTTTGCATGCTATCCCACCCCCTCACCGAGCTCCCCCTGTGTCTCCCTGTCCTCAGAGGGCAGGTCACTGACCTGGAGATCTGGTCACCACCTGACACCTATTGGCCAGAACTTGGAACTACAGCCACTCAGACACATCTTGGACCTTCTTTCCTCCACCTCTCCCAAGCAACTGGTAAGACTCAAGGTGCCCTTGTCACTCATGTGGCCGCTGATTACGTGACACTTCGTACAGCTCTCTATTGTTGCTTCATTTAAAAATATATGTCTGGGGCGCCTGGGTCTCTCAGTCAGTTAAGCATCTGCCTTTGGCTCAGGTCATGATCCCAGGGTCCTGGGCTAGATCTCTGCATCAGGCTCAACGGGGAGTCTGCTTCTCCCTCTCCCACTCCCCCTGTTCATGCTCTTTCTCAGTCAAATAAATAAATAAAGTCTTTAAAAAATTAAATAAAACTTTATGTCTCTCTGTAATCTCTCCTTTTCACTGTCTTATGTTTTCAGAGGGGTCTAACCCATCTCTGCTTCCTCTTCTAATGTGTATCCTCAAGGCTCTGAAAATAATCACCAAGGAAACACGAAAACTGAATAAATCAATAAGTAAATGGAGAAGAGACAACATTTCCTTAGTGGTAGAATTTCGAGGACTAAACGGAGGAGGAGTGGTGGAATTAGAAAATCGCCATTTGGCAGATGTCACAGTAAAAATTTTTGTAGGCACGAATCATCAGCAGATGCCCCTTGTGGTGGCCAAAGGTGTGATGATGAGTGGGTTATTTGCTTAGACTTCAAGTAGCTCCCCATGAGACATGTGTTCGCTACAAATGGAAGAATGGTAACTTGATAATGTAGAGACCAGGGAGAAATATACCTTAACCAAGTGAAAATATTGACGGTATCATAGCAAAGCATCGTCAATATCATTTGCCTCTTGATTGGATGTGCTTGATTTCCACAGCATTCTGGTCAAAAGTGCCTTACCCCTGGGGGTACCTGGGTAACTCAGTTGGGTAAGCATCCAACTCTTGATTTCTGCTCAGGTCATGATCTCCTGGGTCATGATTTCAGGGTCATGGGATTGAGCCCTGCATTTTTGAGTTCCCCGCTGCTTGTCCCTCTCCCTCTGCCCCTCCCCGCACTCAAGTGTGCACACATGCTCTCTCTCTCTCTTAAATAAGTAAATCTTTTTTTAAAAAATGCCTTACCTCAATCTAACCATAAGAAAACATCAGACTAAACCAAATTGAGGGACATTCTTCAAAATCTCCCAACGGCACCAAGGTCAGGACGCAGAAGACGAAGGACAGTGTCACACAACAATAAAATGCAATGAGAGATTCTGGACTGGATCCTGGACCAAGAAAAAGGACATTAGTGGGACCATCGGCAACATTTGAATAAATTCTATAGATTCATTAATAGCACTGTATCAATATTAGTTTCCTGATTTCAATAATCATACTATGTTATGTTCTATCCTAATATTTAGGGAACCTGGTTGAACTCTCTTTGCAACTTTTTTTGGTAATTCGAAAACTGTATCCATGTATAAGCTTTAAAGAGCAAAAAACAAATGTTCCAAATCTTACAAACATTTGAAAAATTTCCCCTTTCGTTTTCTGTTATTAAAACCTAAAAAGGAAACTATAGACCACTCTTCTCCACGATGCAGATATAAAAACCTGAAGTAAAATAAGCACAAACCGTATTCAGCCTTTAGTGAAAACAGTAATACGCCACGACAACGTAAGGTTTGTTCAAGGGATGTCAACATCCTGGGGGAGCCTAGAGGAGTTTGGACATACTCAATGCCTCAGGTGGACTGGTCAAGCTTATGGCAAGAAGGTGTTCATTTCCCGTATGAGGGCATCACATGACGGCGTTGTTTATACTCTGTGCCTCCTGAAACAAACCCCCGAAATTTCCCTCTTATTTTCCCCAGTTCAGTAAGATTTTCTTTCCCTATACCCGGCGTTCTTATGATTTCTTTTCTGGTGGCATCTTACACTGTGTTTTTTCAAGAGACACATTTTGCACATTAAACATATAGGAATATTCTTCACTTCCATATATATATATATATATATATATATATATATATATATATATATATGTTTGCTCCCATTCCTCTTCAAGCCCATAACCCTCTTGGCTTCCTGTCTTTTTTCCACATTGCTAGAGACATGATCACAAGAAATATTTCACCTTCGCCTAATCCCATTATCAGAAAAACAACTGCACGAATGCAAAACCAGCAATGGAACCTTGACCTTGATGTCTAGGAAACAATGGAATATGGAGAAAACAAGGTGTGGAAAGCATGCAAATAAGCTGAAGGAGCCTGTCTCCTGCCCCCACACAACACACACACACCAAAGGGGGCAGCTACAGCCCGCTGTGGGCATGTGGGATGCAGGACTGGTGTGGTCAAGATTTTATAATTTTTAAAGAGAGATCAGAAATTGGAATTATTAATCTGATATCTCTTGATTTTTAAATGCTGGCTGCTAATTCGATCTTTGAAAACCCCTGGCAGGCCAAACCAGACATGACCCTACTGAGTTCCAGTCTGTGACATCTGTTTTATATTACGCAGGTGGGAGCCGCACCAGTGAGACCTGAGTTATTTCTGTTAATGTGAGCTAATTTGTTCCCACTGGCTCCGGAGACACTTCGTTTATGGAAGGAGGGCCAACGTTAAAATTTTATGAATGTTGTTCATCATACGAATGGGACACAGGAGAAAAGCCATATAACGACCCTAATAAGAGGCACCCTGATGAAAATGCATAGTGACTGGGGAGAGAAAGACTTTGTCAAGATGACAAATGTGTTGATCTCAGTCCAACAAACAGTATGATACCTAGTGAATGGAATGGAGAGCAAAGACCGTCCTTAAAAGCAAAGACATTCCTGTGAAAACGAGAGAAACAAGGATGTCACTCCATGGGTGGTATCAATAATATTCTGAAAGTCAAGGGAAATCAGTAAGAGTCAAAAAATGAATAAGATAAATAAATTCGGGGGTGCCTGGTTGGCTTAGTCGGTTAAACGTCTGTCTTCAGCTCAGATCATGATTTCAAGGTCTTGGGATCGACCCCTGCATCAGGCTCCCTGCTCAGCAGGAAGTCTGCTTCTCCCTCTCCCTCTGCCCCTCCCTCCTGCTCATTCTCTCTCTCTCTCTCTGTCTGTCTCAAATAAATAAATAACATATTTTTTAAAAAAGAACCTATGAACTTTATTATGGGATTTTTAAAAAAGCCTTTCATAAATGGAAAAACACCTTATGTTCTTAAATGGGAAAATGATATTATCAAAGACATCCATTCTTCCCAGTTGAGTATATGAATGTAATACAGTTTCAGATAAAAGACATAAGGCTTTGGGGAGAGGG